TCAGTTGTTTTGCATTTGTTGAGCAGTGCTTTACTTCCAATTATGTGGTCAATTTTAGAGTAGGTGTGATGTGGTGCTGAGAAGAATGTGTATTCTGTGTTTTGGGGTGGAGAGTTCTGTAAATGTCTATCAGGTTTGCTTGCTCCAGGTCTGAGTTCAAGCGCTGGATATCCTTGTTGATTTTCTGTCTGGTTGATCTGTCTAGTATTGACAGTGGAGTGTTAAAGTCTCCCACTATTATTGTGTGGGAGTCTAAGTCCTTTTGTAAGTCATTAAGAACTTGCCTTATGTATCTGGGTGCTCCTGCATTGGGTCCATATATGTTTAGGATCGTTAGCTCTTCTTGTTGTATCGATCCTTTTACCATTATGTAATGGCCTTCTTTGTCTCTTTTGATCTTTGTTGCTTTAAAGTCTATTTTATCAGAGATGAGAATTGCAACTCCTGCTTTTTTTTGCTTTCCATTAGCTTGGTAAATCTTCCTCCATCCCTTTATTTTGAGCCTTTGTGTATCCTTGCATGTGAGATGGGTTTCCTGGATACAGCACACTGATGGGTTTTGGATTTTTATCCAATTTGCCAGTCTGTGTCTTTTGATTGGTGCATTTAGTCCATTTACATTTAGGGTTAATATTGTTATGTGTGAATTTGATACTGCCATTTTGATGCTAAGTGGCTGTTTTGCCTGTTAGTTGTTGTAGATTCTTCATTATGTTGATGCTCTTTAGCATTCAGTGTGATTTTGGAATGGCTGGTACTGGTTGATGCTTTCTATGTGTAGTGCCTCTTTTAGGAGCTCTTGTAAAGCAGGCCTGGTGGTGACAAAATCTCTGAGTACTTGCTTGTTCGCAAAGGATTTTATATTTCCTTCACTTCTGAAGCTCAGTTTGGCTGGATATGAAATTCTGGGTTGAAAGTTCTTTTCTTTAAGAATGTTGAATATTGGTCCCCACTCTCTTCTGGCTTGTAGTGATTCTGCCGAGAGATCTGCTGTGAGTCTGATGGGCTTCCCTTTGTGGGTGACCCGACCTTTCTCTCTGGCTGCCCTTAGTATTCTCTCCTTTATTTCAACCCTGTTGAATCTGACGATTATGTGCCTTGGGGTTGCTCTTCTTGCGGAATATCTTTGTGGTGTTCTCTGTATTTCCTGAAATTGAGTGTTGGCCTGTCTTGCTAGGTGGGGGAAATATTCCTGGATGATGTCCTGAAGAGTATTTTCCAGCTTGGATTCATTCTCTTCGTCCCCTTCTGGTACACCTATCAAACATAGGTTAGGTCTTTTCACATAGTCCCACATTTCTTGGAGACTCTGTTCATTCATTTTGCACTTTTTTCTCTAATCTTGGTTTCTCGTTTTATTTCACTGAGTTGGTCTTCGACTTCAGATATTCTTTCTTCTGCTTGGTCAATTCGGCTATTGAAACTTGCGTTTGCTTCGCGAAGTTCTCATATTGTGTTTTTCAGCTCCTTTAATTCATTCATATTCCTCTCTAAGTTATCCATTCTTGTTATCATTTCCTCAAATCTTTTTTCAAATCTTTTTTCAAGGTTCTTAGTTTCTTTGCTTTGATTTAATACATGATCTTTTAGCTCACAAAAGTTTCTCATTATCCATCTTCTGAAGTCTAATTCCGTCATTTCGTCACAGTCATTCTCTGTCCAGCTTTGTTCCCTTGCTGGTGAGGAGTTTTGGTCCTTTCTAGGAGGCGAGGTGTTCTGGTTTTGGGTGTTTTCCTCCTTTTTGCGCTGGTTTCTTCCCATCTTTGTGGATTTGTCCGCTGGTCGTCTGCGTAGTTGCTGACTTTTCGATTGGGTCTCTGAGTGGACACCCAGAATGTTGATGATGGAGTATTTCTGTTGCTTGGTTTTCCTTCTACCAGTCTAGCCCCTTCGCTGTATGACTGCTGAGGTCCGCTCCAGACCCTGCTTGTCTGGGGTGCACCTCTAGCAGCTGTGGCACAGCGAGGGATGCTACCAGTTTCTTTTTCTGCTATCTTTGTCCCAGGATGATGCCTGCCTAATGTCAGTCTTTTGGATCTAGAGGGGTCAGGGAGCTGCTTGAGGAGACAGTTTGTACTTTATAGGGGCTTAATTGCTGAGCTGTGAGCTCTGTTGTTCATTCAGGGCTGTTAGGCTGCTATGTTTGATTCTGCAGCAACAGAGCTCATTAAAAAACCCTTTTTTTTTTCTCAAATGCTCTGTGTTGAGGGGTTTGGGCTTTATTTTTGGATGTCCGTTGAGGTCCTGCCCAGCTAGGACGCAGACTAGCCACTGTTTGGCTGCCGAGGCTCCGCCCTGCTGTTGTGTGATTCGCCCTGTTCCTGCAGGCTCTGCTGTGGTCTCCGCCACGCCCTGCGGCGGAGTCTCTCTGTTGTAGCGGGTTGCCTTGGCAATGGCAGGCTGCGTCAGCAGTGGGCGTGTATCTCAGTAGGGACGGGTTGCCTCGGCAACGGCAGGCTGCGTCAGCAATGGGCGTGTATCTCAGTTGGGGCGGGTTGCCTCGGTAATGGTGGACGCCCCTCCCCCTCAGAGCGTCTCAGGCCGTCTTCCCGGGGCTTGTTTGAAATCGCGGTTTTGTTCGTCCCACTGGGCCAACCCTAACGCTCTGTCCCTGCGATCCCCTGGCTGGCCCACTGTCCAAGTCTAGCTCAGTCTCAAGTCCAGCCCTCTCACGTCTCTGGTTGCCGGTTCAACAAGGCACCCGGACAAGCGCGCCCTGTGGGGAGCGCTGGGTAGGGCCGGCTGCCGCCACTCTGGCTGCCGGCTTCGCCAGGCGGAGGTTCTGCCTGGCGTCCCGCGTCTCCTCTTCACTTGGGAATTTCCCCGTTCCGTGGGCAACAAAGATCAGTCTGGAAATGCAGCTCAGACTCACCTTTCCGCGGACACGAGAGCTCCAGTCCTGGGTTGTTCTCACAGCGCCATCTTGAGTCCTCCCTCCTAAGTTGCATTCTTATGCTTACTAGTAATGCAGACCTTCTTCTCATACATGTATTAACTTTACAGTCTCCACATCAGCAAACTACATATTCCTATGCCATTCCCCATGCCCTCCCCCCTTTTTTTTTCTTTTTTGAGACAGGGTCTGGCTCTGTCATTCAGGCTGGAGTGCAGTGGCACAATCACAGCTCACTGCAGCCTCAAGCTTCCAGGCTCAAGTGATTTTCCTACTACTTTAAAGTTGGAAACTCATGTATAACAAATGACACTAAAGTTTAAGGACTTTATTATAAATATTTGCAGAATTTATAACTAAGAGGATTAGCATCCAGGTTATATAAATAGCTGCTACAATAAGGAAAAAACTCCACAATCTGATTTTAAAATGGGCACAGGGTTGGATGCAGTGGTTCATGCCTGTAATCCGCATGTTATCCCAGCACTTTGTGAGGCTGATGGGGAAAGATTGCTTGAGCCCAGTTGTTCCAAGACCAGCCTGGGCAACATGGTGAGACTCTGTCTCTACAAAAATTAAAAAAATTAGGTGTGGTGGCACACACCTGTTGTCTCAGATACTTGGGAGGCTGAGGCAGTAGGATCACTTGAGCCCAGAAGGTCAAGACAGCAAGTGAACTGTGTTCCTCCCACAGCACTCCAGCCTGGATACCAGAGCAAGACCCTGTCTCAAAAAAAAAAAAAAAAGGACTTAAGATCTTTAGGGCTGGGCACAGAGGCTCATGCCTATAATCACAGCTCTTTGGAAGGCTGAGTCATGAGGATTACTTGAGGCCAGGAGTTCAAGACTAGCCTGGGCAACATAGTGAGAGACTCTGTCTCTACACATAAAAAAAAAAAAAAAAAAGCCAGGAGTGGTGGTACATGCCTGTAGTCCCAGCTACTTGGGAGGCTAAAGTAGCTGGAGGATCCTTTGAGCCCAGGATCGTGCCACTGCACTACACTCCAGCCTGGGCAACAGAGCAAGACCCTGTCTCTTAAGAAAAAAACTTAGGTCTTTAAACCAGTTGGAATTGTGTGTGTGGTATGAGGTAAGGAACTAATTTTTTTAATATGGATAGTAGCCAGTTGTCCCACCACCATTTAGTGAAGAGTCCATTTGTTTCCCATTTTGCAGGTACTATATAGTGTCTTTATAAAAATAACTATATTAAGGTATAACTTACGTACCATAAAATTCACAAATTTTAACATTCTGTCCTGCAAGCATCAGCACAATCCAGTGTTAGAAGACTCCTATTACCCCAAAAAGTTCTTTCATGCCTGTTTGCAGTTAGTCTCCATCCCCACCTTTGGCTCCAGACAACCATTGATCTATTTTCCTTATTTCAAATAAATAGAATAAAATAATATATAATCTTCTGTGCCTTGCTTTTTTCACTTATCATAATATTTTTGAGATTTATCCATATTGTTACATGAATCAGAATTTCATTTTAACTGCTGAGTAGTGCACCTTATTTTGTTTACCCGTTCACTGATGGACATTTAAAATGTTCCCAGTTTTGGGCTACTATTAAATGCTGTGATAAAAATTCATATACAAATTTTTGTGTGGACATATGTCTTCATTTCTCTTGACTAGATACGGAGAGGTAGAATTGTTTGGACATATGATAAATATATGTAAATTTTTTAGAATCTGACAAACTGTTTTCCAAAGTGGTTGTAATAATTTACAACCCTACCAGTAATATGTGAGGATTCCAGTTTATGTACATCTTGTTAATACTTGGCATTGTCTATTTTTTTTTTAAGACAAGATCTTACTCTGTTGCCCAGGCTGGCGTGCAGTGGTGCCATCACAGGGACTCACTGCAGCCTCAACCTTCCAGGATCAAGTCATTCTCTCATCTCAGCCTTCCAAGTCGCTGGGACTACAGGCACATGCCACCATACCTAGCTAATCTTTGTATTTTTTTTTAATTTTTTTATTTACTGTATTACTCCCTTTTCATGCTGATAAAGACATACTTGAGACTGGAAAATTTACAAAGGAAAGAGGTTTAATTGGACTCACAGTTCTTTTTTTTTTTTTTTTTTTGATTGTGGTGAATTTATTTAAAGTATTTCTTTGAAAAAATGTGCTAAGTAGATCTTCCAATATTAAAAGAAAAAGTATCTCTGTAATAAAGTAAGAGGACTGTAATGAAAGTAAGAGGATAATTGTTCATCCATCATGCCAACTCAAGCTAGTTCTTTCTTTCCAGTGCAGCAATACATTTTAGGGCAACAAAGTTCAGAATGGATACAATGGCCTGTTCAGAAAGCATGCAAGTTATATCAGGTCATTTCTTTAAAGTCAGTTTGATAAATTTGTTAACTAGATTCTGACCATAGAAAGAGAGAGGAAGTCAATGTAAATTGCAGACATGCCAGCTCTGCTGGTTCACATTACAGCTACCTAATGTTGGGCTTAATTTCTTTTTCGTCTTCTTCTTCACTATCATCAACCTGTTGGATGACCAGATCAGCAGACCCATCTTCTACAATCTCCACATAGGATCTATTCTCATCTTCACTCAAGTGCCATCTGGAATCCTTATCTCCATCTGATGGGGACATAAGATGTTGTTCAGCTTCCAAGTCAATGGGGAGGCTGTCAATGCCAAATTCTGCAAGACACTCATTACACAGTCTGTAGTGCCTGGTTCCCCTCTGTACCACTTGCCCTGTTAGATCTGTCACATGACGTTTACATTTTCTGCAGATGAGTTTACATGCCTGGTGAATTGTTAGAAAATGGCTACTTAGATGGTCTAGCCTGCTAAATCTTTTTCCGCAAGCTTGACATGGATAGGGCCTTTCTCCCGTATGACAACGAAGGTGGCGCTTTAGGTCTGCCTTCCGCTTTACCACGTGTGTGCAGTATGGGCACTTGAATCGCATCCGGGGCAGATCACCTGGAAAACTTTTGGATGTGATATCAGATCCTTGACTGTACTGATAGCCAACAGCAGTAGAGTCCATTTCAGCATCAATTGGTGCTTGTTCTTCAGACTGGGAAACATGGCTGGAAGAATCGGATGTTCGTGCTTCTCGTTTGCTTGACTTATAATGAGTAACTTCAGAAGGCTGTGACAATCTCAAATGTTTGGTCTTTTTAATGGACTCTTTCCTTGGTTCATGCTTGGCCAAGGGTTGTTGAGTATTCCTCTGGGAAGTTGGATGATAATTATACTTACTCCAGGATTTTCCACTTATTATACCAGTTCCTTGCTCTGGGCTTAGGTGAGAATGTGGAGAACTGCTTCCTTCTTGCCAGCTACCACTATAAAATGAGGAGCGTTCTACACCATTAGAATTGGCGTCTTTATCTGAGAGACTGAAATAGCGATCTTTCTCTTTCTCACTAATGTCTAAGGAAGATTTAATAAAAGTCTTACATACACTTATGACATCAGTCATCTGCAGGAAGCTAGCAGCTGACATCACTTCTATGACATTCTGACCAGTAAGAGACAGTTTACCAGAATATACAAAGTCCAGGATAACTGTAAAGGTGTCAGGGGAGAAAGCCTGAAATGTAGCTGTGGTTGGCTGACTTGTCTCCTTTGAATTCTGAGAAAGAAGCATTTTAAAGTAGCCACTACTAGCAAATAATACATTTCGATGTGCTTTGAAGACCTTCCCTTCAACTAGAATACTGCAGTCACAAAATACATCTTGCCTGCGCTGCTCGTTCAGTTGCTGCAGAAGGTGAGACTGATGAGAGGAGATCTCCATTCTGTAATCCCAGTTACCTGGGAGGCTGAGGCAGTAGAATCACTTGATCCCAGGAAGTGGAGGTTGCAGTGAGGCGAGATTGCACCACTGCACTCCAGCCTGGGCGCAGAGTGATATTCCGTCGTTCCATCCAGAAGCAAATAGTTGGAGCTGAACATTCGTTAGGCGCGGTGAGTCCACCCTCGGTTCTAAGCCCAGATGTCGCATCGCAGGCCGCGGCGCACCGGCCAGTCACGCGCGCGGGCTGGGGGAAGATTCCTGGTTCTCAGCCGGGGAAGGACCCCCTTTCGAGGCTGTTCCTTTGTGCCCTTGGGAAAGGCGCCTCCGGAGGGCAGAAGGGCTGGATTTCTAGGATCTGGGGAATTTAGGAAAAGCGGACTCACAGTTCTAAGTGGCTGGAGAGGCCTCACAATCATGGTGGAAGGCAAGGAGGAGTAAGTCATGTCTTACATGGATGGCAGCAGGCAAAAAGAAGCTTGTGTAGTGAAACTCTCATTTTAAAAACCATCAGATCTTGTGAGACTCATTTACTACCAGGAAGACAGTACAGGAAAGACCCCCCCTCTCCCTGCTGCCAAATAATTCACTCACCTCCCACTGATTCCTCTCACAACACATGGGAATTGCGGGAGTTACCATTCAAGATGAGATTTAGGTGGGGACACAGCGAAACCATATCAAACGAGGTTTCACCATGCTGTCCAAGCTGGTCTCAAACTCCTGGATATATGCAATTTACCCACCTCAGCCTCCCAAAGTGCTGGGATATAGGCATGAGCCACCACGCCTGGCCTATCTTTTTGATTTAAGCTATTCTAGTGAGTGTGTAGTGTGGTGTCAATCTGCATTATTTTAAGGAGTATTTTTTAAATTTTTTGACATAATTTCAGATTAAGTAAAAGTTATAAAAACAGTTCTCTCTTCCTTCCCTCAGGAAAGAATACATGTACTGTATATATGAATATATACATTAGTCCCCCTTATCTAGGTTTTGCTTTCCACACCTTCACTTACCCAAAGTCAATCTTAGCCCACCAGGATATGAAAATATTAAATGGAAAATTCCAGAAATAAACAATTCATAACTTTTTTTTTTTTTAATAAAAGGTTTTATTTTATTTTATTTTATTTTTTTTTTAGGAAGGAAGGAAGGGAGGAAGCGGCGAGGGAGGGAGGGAAGGGAAGAAAGGAAATCAAGCAATGAAAGAGACATTGCCAACCTGGATCTAGAGGTTTACAAGTTGATTTCTTTTTTTTTGAGAGAAGGAAAGAAAAAAAATAAAATAAAAAATAAGTAAAGGAGAGGAAGAAAGAGAAAGAGAAAGAGGGAGAGTAAATGGAAATATTGCTTTATTTTGAAAAAAATTGGGTATTAATAATGGCCAATCAATGTTTCATTTAAACTTATGGGTAGGTGTGATGTGGTATTGACAAGAATGTATATTTTGTGTAATTGAAGTGGAGAGCTCTATAAATATTTATTAAGTTTACTTGTTCTGGATCTGAGTTCGAGTCCTTGATATCCTTATTAATTTTCTGTCTCATTGAAGCTAAGTCTCCTATCTGGGTGTTAGGATCGTTAGCTCTTGTTGTTGCATTGATCCTTTTACCACTATATCTTTGTTGCTTTAAAATCTATTTTATCCGATACAAGAATTGCAACTCCTGCTTTTTATTTATTTATTATTTATTTTTGCTCTCCATTTGGTTGGTAAATCTTTCTCCATCCCTTTGTTTTGAGTCTTTGTGTATCCTTGCATGTGAAACAGGTCTGGATGTAACATGCCATTGGGTTTTGGCTGTGTCTTTTGATTGGGAATTTAGTCAATTTAAATTTAGGGTTACTGCCATTTGATGTTGACTGGCTGTTTTATCCATTCGTTGGTGTAAATTCTTCTGTATGTTGGTGCTCTTTACTTTTTAGAAAGTGTATTTTTTTTTTTTAATGGCCGATCAATATTTTGAGTGTTTAAAGTGGTTAATGCATATTTTATGTGTTTAAAATGGAGACCTCTATTGTGTGTATCAGCGGCGTTAAAACTGATGGTGCTTTTCTGCCCAGGATTCTCCTGTCGGGCTTCCTTCTTGTTTCCGCAGTAAGCGACTCTGCCTTCCCGGGGCTCCAAACCTCGGTCAGAAGGGGAACCAGTCCCGTTTACTCTGCGCCGAGTGCTGCTGCTTCGAGGTGCCGGCGGAACTGCTGCGCCGACCACGAGAGTCGCACTGGCGACTCGTGTGTTTCCACCACTGGGGGATCTTCTGCTTCGTGAGCGACCAGACTTTGTCTGAAAGTGTGGCGTCCTCTAGTTCTCCGCGCCTTCCCTGAGAGCTGCAATCCGGGATGTTAGCGATCGGCCATCTTGGATCGTTCCGAGAACAATTCATAACTTTGAAATTGCACACTGCTGTTCTGAGGAGTGTGATGAAATCTTGTGCCATCCCTCTCAGGAAATGAGTCATCCCTTTGTCCAGCATATCCCCACTGTAGACACTACCTGCCAATTAGTCACTTCCTAGCCCTCTCAGTTATCAGATCAACTGTCATGGTCTCACAGTGCTTGTATTCAAGTCACCCTTATTTTACTTAATAATGGACTTAAAGCACAAAAGTAGTTATGCTGGCAATTTGGATATGCCAAAGAGAAGCCATAAAGTGTCTTCTTTACATGAAAAGGTGAAAGCTCTTGACTTAATCAGGATAGAAAAAAAATTGTATGCTGAGGTTGCTAAGATCTGTGGTATGAACTTATCTTCTATCCATGAAATTGTGAAGAAGGAAAAATAAATTGTGGATATTTACTAGCACCCATGGGCTATTAGGGAAAAAAGTATTAATTTTAAAAAGAAATTCATGCATAGCATATATAGGATTCAGTACTATCCTTCATTACAGGTATCCACTGGTGGGGTGTCTTAGAACATATTCCTGGGGGATAAGGAGGGATGTGTGTGTGTGTATGTGTATGTGTGTGTGTGTGTGTGTGTGTATAAAAGTTAGAAAAATATAGAAAAGTTAAAAATAAATAGAAAAGTTAAAATAGATATGTTTGTGCATGTGTGTATGTATATATATGTCTCCACATTATCCACAGCATAATTTTTTGTTAAATAATACACCTAACTTTTCCTGAACATTTGCAAGTAAATTGGAGTTATGATTCAATGTTAATGCTTTAGGGTGTGTTTTCTAAAATCAAGGATATTCTCTTATATAACCACAGTACAATTTCACAATCAAGAAGTACACTAGTATTCTATCAGGAAGTGTACTAATAATATCTAATAGATAGAACACTATTCTAATAGGAAGTGTACTAATAATATCTAATAGAACACTATTCTAACAGGAAGTGTACTAATAATATCTAATAGATAGAACACTATTCTATCAGGAAGTGTACTAATAATATCTAATAGATAGAACACTATTCTAACAGGAAGTGTACTAATAATATCTAATAGATAGAACACTATTCTATCAGGAAGTGTACTAATAATATCTAATAGATAGAACACTATTCTAATAGGAAGTGTACTAATAATATCTAATAGAACACTATCAGGAAGTATACTAATAATATCTGATAATAGATAGAACACTATTATCTAATCTACAGACCTTATCTATATTTTTCCAATTGTTCCAATAATATTATTAATTCATTTTTCATTTACTCATTCATTTATTTGAGACAGGATCTTGCTCTATCGCCCAGCTGGAGTGCCGTGGCATGAACACAGCTCACTGCTGCCTCGACCTCCTGGGCTCAAGCAGTCTCCCACCTCAGCCTCCCAAGTAGCTGGGACTATAAGGTGCCCCCATGCCCAGTTAATCTTTTTAACATTTTGTAGAGATAAGGTCTCACTATGTCACCCAGACTGTTCTCAAATTCCTGGACTCAACCAATCCTCCTGCCTTGGCCTACCAAAGTGCCAGGATTACAGGCATGACCACCACGCCCAGGCCAATAATGTCCTTTATAACAAAATAAAATCCAAGATCATGCATTGTATTCATTATTTGTGTCTTCAGTTTCTTTTAATCTGGAATAGTTCTTGAGTCTTTGTGTTTCGTGACATTGGCTATTTTTTTTAATGCATGCATCCCCGCTGCAAAGGGGTACAGCACCCATCGGCATGCACCAGCTCCAGAGCCACCACAGCCATCCAAGTAGGACAGAAGTGAGTGACCAAAGGAACCACAACTGATTCAATGAGCCATTTGCAGCCTCACTGCACCAGCCAGGCACACCCAGACATGCATGGCTCAATCAAATACAGAGAACTATTTTGTAAACTATTCCCCAATTCATGTTTGTCTGATGTTCCCTCATAATCATATCAGGTTATGAACTCTTAACAGGAATACCACAAAAATGTTATGTTCTCAGTGTATCATATCAGAAAGCACAAGCTGTTTATCTCAATACTTGTGATGTTAACTTTGATCATTTATTACATTGCTGTCGTTTTCCTACTCTAATGTTACTATTTTCCACTTTGTAATGAATAAGTATCTTGTGGGGAGATACTCTGAGACTATGAAATATTCTCTTACTCTTTGAACTTTTCAACCATAATTTTAGTATACATTGATGATTGTCCACTGAATCTATTATGATGGTTTCCAAATTGCAATTTTCTAATTCCATCATTCTTCATACATTTAGTAGTTGGACTTTTACTATAAGCTTTCCTTTCTCTACCACTTATTTGTTTAATTATATCACTGTGGGCTCATCCATTCTTATTTGTAATCCTTTTCGACAGTTATTTATTTGGATGCTCAAGTTTTCCTTGTTTTGGACAGTGGGCTCCCCTACTTTAAGCTAGTTCCTATTCCTTTTATTTTTTTTTTCCTTATGCCTTTTTGATATGTGCCAGTCTTTCTTTGAACATTTTTAACTTTCTGACTCAACAAGACATCTCAGACTCATCTTTTACTTTCCTTGCACTAGGTCTGGAATTTCTGGCCATCTTCCAAGAAGCCTCTGGTCCCCCCACAACCCCTTTCCTTCTAAATTGGACAATGTCCTCATTTCTTAAATGGACTTAGAAACCAAGACCTGAGCATTAGACGTGCTTATGTCCCCCACTACCGCTATTTATTTTTGAGATATAGGACACATATGAATATATTTCTATAAATACACAAATATTTCTATATATCAATTTATACCTATGCTTTATTTAATCTATCAAACCATGAGCTCTTATTAGTATCTCCCATTCTGATCCACCACTACCAGGTCATTCTATCCTTCTTGTTTCCGTATTTGTGACTTCCTTTGAAGCACAGTGAAAAATGTGACTCCCACTGTCTGCAACATAATTATTTGTTAAATCATAGAATAGTAATTTCAGAACTGCTAATTCATGCCTAAAACTATACTCTAAAATGAGTACTAAGGTTTTTTCTCTTTAGCCTGGTATATAGTATGTATTAGTCTACATTGCAAAGAATGTTTTCAAAAGTACCATGAGTTAATTATTTTTCTGCACTGTCAGTGTAATTATGTTATTCATTTAAAATACAATTTTATTTGGTTTTGTTTGTACGTAATTATGTGCTCTCCCCATTTCTTGCTGATTTTCTTTTTAAAAAAATATATGAGCCTGGCTCGGTGGCTCATGCCTGTAATCCCGGCACTTTGGGAGGCCGAGGCGGGTGGATCATGAGGCCAGGAGTTCAAGACCAGCCTGGCCAACATGATGAAACCCCAT